TGAAATCAAAACAAACAAGTGCCCAGACGCTATAAGCCGGCACGCGCCGAAGACAATAGAAATACCAGTAATCCGGTACTTGAAGAAACAGCTAATCGAATCAGTCAAATCAAATAGTCAAATCGAATCATAAATCAAAATATTGAATCCAAAAAGCGACGTTAACACCTCGGGTGGATAAAAATCGTTATCCCCACTAGTTTTAACGTATGCCTATCGAGGATATAAGCAGCGGCTTCCTCGACAGGAATTCTTTCGACTCACTTGTGTCTATCTAGACGAATAGACAAGACCCTTGTACACCACGAGATGGCAAGAAGCTAGTAAATATTTGGAAAGTGTAAATTATCAAAAAGCTAGGAGAAAACCAATCTTCTGTTCCAGAGCGAACCAGTGAAGAGTATTGTACTGCAAACTGTGGGAACTCATCCTCGGCAGTTCCTGGTCTTAGAAAGCATTGTGTCTCCACCCTGTATCAGGAAATCTGCTATCCTTGTAGATATTCTGCGTCGAAAGCATTGTGCTGGAGCTGTCAGAAATCGACCACTACATAACAACCACACTCAGCTCAGCTCCCAATATCATTGTGATTAGTAGCTGTCTGAGCATCCCATAGCTCTTACCAGGCCTAAGGAATCATTGTGATACCCCCTAGTGTCAGGAAGGGCATTCCAATTCCCTCTGCATTCTCCTGCAGTGAAGTTATTGTAATAGAACTGCCAGGACTGTAGACCATCCACAAAAACAACCCACCTTAAAAAGATTCAGCTCCCAATATCATTGTGATTAGTAGCTGTCTGAATCGAACCCATCCTTAAGATAAGGGATTCAGCAAACGGGGTTCATTGTGATCTCCTGTGAGTTCTGAAGCATTATCATCCTAACCAATAGCTGGCCCACGGTCTTTGGACGCATTGTGCAATCTGCTGTATTGTGATTCCAGCTACCTCTTTCCAATCCAAAAGGCTAGCAGAGAGAATAAGTAAACAAAAACACTTCTTGTCGCCTATGGTACTACTGGCAAGCTAGAGACAATTATAAAGTGTGTGTATGTGTGAGAGAGAGCAAAATAGAATATTAAGGATACCTAGTCTGTAACGTATAGAACAATATATCATTATTCTTTTTATCTTAAAAACTCCAGTGTCTAAATTGTTGCTGAAGACGCCTGCCCAGTGCACAAACCCTACAAAAAGTCTCGTGATCCCTAACACACAAAAATCACGAAACGTCTCATTATATATAATATTATATATTGTAACATATTTCCTTAACTTGACCCGACACCGATAGCAAAATATACGGGAACGACTATCTTCGAGAACCAACCTACGTTACCTTCGGCCGTCCACCCGTCGTTCGTGCATCCGCAAGCCAGGCGAGCGCCAGCCAATTCTTTTTTCACCGGGAACTGACAAGTCGGTATAAACTGGGAGTTGGGGTGGAACAGGCCCAACTCCACCGAGAACGAGAGCTCTGACGGAACCTATCAGACGAGGCGATAGCTTAATGGATCCTGTCGATTTTTGGGGACGCGTAAAATCGAGAAACGCAACCGTAGGTGCTGATCTTTGGGGTCGCGTAAAATCAGCAAAGACGAGGAGATAGCTTAACGTATCCTGACGATTTTTGGGGACGCGTAAAATCGAGAAACGCAACCGTAGGTGCTGATCTTTGGGGTCGCGTAAAATCAGCAAACGCAACTGGATACACGAACGGGAGCGGACGGTTACGGAAATGCAC